CAGATCGTCCGACGTTGGACATTTACAAGTCACCGTAACATGTGAAAGAAAAGAAGGGTTAATTCAAAACACATACATTGTCGGCTGTAAATAGGTTTGTACTTGTACTCTCTGAACTTCGTTTACTGCCGACTTAAGTTTATTGAGTTTAGATGACCGTGCAAAATGCCAAATAGTCAAATTAGGCTATTTATTTTTAGTGAAAATTGGTTACCGGAGGGTTCTAAAACTATTCATACTTCATGATATTTACCTTGCTAATGCAAGCGAACATGCGATTCCCAGGAATTAATTGAGAATACGTTGACTCCATTGCTGGGACAATACGTTTCGACACCAGCCGAAGTAAGGCGAATAAATGTATTGTATCAGCGATCAATTCATCTTGTTCTCGATATTTCCTTTAACCTTAGCTTGGAACAAGGGGACTGACGAAATGCTAGATAAATCGCTTTTTAATATATTGACTTATTTTTTGAAAATTGACCATATGTGAATGTATATCAGGAACGTGGTTTGCACATTGCATCTTCACGCCAAAGCCGTTTCCGCTATATTTATAATTATAAATATGACGCAATGTGTCAAATTAATAAGGAATACTACCCAAACTTACAGTCTATCTTCAAGTGCTTTTCAATATATACAGTAGTTTTTTTGTTTTAGTAATAAGATCGAGCAAAATCTAAATGTCTGAACGATTTAGCTGATTTCCATCCACGAGATGAAATGTATAGGAAGCATATACAGGGTTTTCTGCTCTGTGCACAAAATGAAACGCTTCTGTTGTACAAACTGACCAGAACTGAACTGACAGTTATATTCTCAAGTATTAGTCTTTTATGCAGCGATTTGTATGTTTTCATCATTTAAGTTTTCTCATAATTTTGTACTTATAGAAACAAATTAATTTGCCTTTTTTGTTTACTTCGGTGACATTGTTTATTATCATCACATTTATGCATATGCGTTAATGCCGCTTTTCCAGAGCTCAAAGGTATTTCACAAAATATCGCAAATTGCAGCACTGTGGTCGCATAATTGGATATCCCCTGCCATATGTAGTCGTGATGTACATGGCTCCACCGTTGGTTTCCTTTGGCATGCCTGTTCTTCTATCAAACTCTTAAGATTTTAATTTCCGGGACATGCTGGAATACGTATTCAATCACGTTCTCATAGCTCGTCACCTAGGTTTGTCTTCCCAAAACAACATTTTCTTACCAATGTGGCAGTTCGTCTATGGTTACTTTGTCAAATGACATCTGGATTTGTAGATGATTTTGCCTGACCTTTGATGCTATTAACTGATAAAGAGCGCTTGAGGGCTAAGCACGGGCGCATTTAGTCAACCCAAACACTTTGGGCGTATCGGCGATCGCAGTCAAATCGAATTCCGCCTGTGATTTGCTTATGAATCTCACCCAATAGGAAGTTAGTAAAATACATCGTGCACATATAAAAACGACGAGATTTGACGGAAATGTAAAACCTGTCGGTAAAGACCTGCAAACATGATGAAAATATGCTCTCCGACTCTGCTTTGGGCCGCTGCTATATCCTTGTTTGTTCTCTTCAGTAAGTTTAATCATTACATACAGCCCCCATTGAACACATTTACTTAGCTTATTAAAAACACTCCTTGTTTAAATGTTCCCTTTAAGTTTTGTCGAAAAGGTTCAACTAAATTTAAAAATGTATTCCAGAGTACGCCTATGTCACTGCTAACAAGCAATCTGGCCAATCTTCATTTCAGCCCAAGCGCTTGCATCGCCGACCTACGAACTCTGCAAAGGTGACGGGGAAGACTGTCAGTATGTGAGCTATAGAGCGGTTGATGAAACAAAGGGCGAAGATTGTCGTTATGCCTGTTCAAGACAGCGAGGTCAGTGCGTTCGTATATTAGTTGCTTAAATTCTCTACTTAACTTAGCTAAAGTTCTTTGCTATCCTCTTCTTGCTGTTCTCCCTATTCTTGTCAGCAGTTAAAGAATGCGCAGCAATTGATATTTTGCATCACCCCTTCGTCAAAGTCTCCCTATTCGTTGTTATGATCTTCTTGTTCTTCTTTAGAGAATCTGAACGCGACAGTGCCTGCATGTTACCGTCCAGAGTCTGATCAGCCATGCTCTCCTTATGATGTTTACGGACGAAAGGGCTATGACAAAACTTTTGAGATACATGTAGACTGTGTAAAGGCGTGTCATTTTGTCGACAAAGGTAAGCTTACTCACTGTCTAAAATCATTCTGCCAATCTCCATTGTCTCTGCATTAATACGATCCCTTTTTAATTAGACATGCTTCAATTGGCTGTAGACTCTCAAGCTTCCTGTCAAAAATACCTCCTTTTTAGTCGAACATACCTGCGCAAAATCCTTCCAAATGTGCCTAGAGACCAAGGATCAATGTTTTAACATTACCAGAA